GGGGTAGAATAGCTGAGAGACTCCATGTTCATTCCCATTTTCACTTGATTTATCAGACAGTGTTTAAAATCTTAGTTAAAATACTTTCAGGCATAGCCAATATTTTATTCATTGTTATGGATAACACATGTTCAGATATTACATTACAGTAACTAGCTGTATTAACACTTCAAGTTCTTATGATGAACATGCATTGATACTCACATATCCAGTAGGAGAAGAGCAACATGGGCATTTTCTTGGGGAGCCTTCTTTCCTTGTTACCTGTCAAAGGCAAGCCCACAGTGTGCTCACATTTTTGCCCTGGTTTGTTCTGCTAAACTGCTCAGAGACTTTTTGTCTATGGATCCTCCTAATTAAAACACTAAACAGAAAGCTGCACGGAGGGGCAGACCAGGTTTTGAGTCTCATTTGAACCAGCAGTTATCTTCAGCAAGTCTGCCATTTGGTTTTAAGGTAATGCTTAGAAATACTGTATCGCAGGTACAGGGACATGCTTATTAAGTGTGGATGACATAATAGAGGTGCACAATTAGAGCCATCTCAGGTATATATTTCTTTTGTTTTAGGTCTGTTCATGGAGTTGGCTGTTTTTAGTGCAGAACACTATGACAAGACACCTGCTCCAAGGCTGTTCTACATGACTGCTTCCTTCCATTTCCTGCTACTTCAACAATTAGCAAATTTATGGTTTTACAGTGGGTAGTAGAGGGAGGTGGGACAACTATTTCTTCCTGACTAAACTATTACAAACATTATAGTTTGTAGATCAGAACATGGTGTAAGTACTTTTTCATAGGTGGTTTGTTATTACTTGTGGCAACAGAAATAATCACAAAGAACTTATCAAGCTTCGGGCTCAGTGTGATTAACAAAAGCTGATTGTCAAATTAAGCTGTTTGTCAAGCTATGACCAAAGTTTAATAGATGCAAACAAAACAGTTAACAGTGTGCCATTTGTAAAGTAGCTACCATAATTGTTTGAGATGACTATAACTGGGGAAAAAGGAAAATTCAAGGTGTATACAGTGAACATTTTTTAAGCTAGTGAGTAGTTGTGGTTAAGTACCTGCACACCATAGCGAGAAAAAGGTTTGGCTTCATTTATACATGATGTATAAAAATAGATCTGGGGCTGTAACAGCTGTACACAAAACAAAATTTAAATAAACTTGGTGCTTAATCATTTGGTGCCTTCATTACCAGTGTTGAAGAGGTGGTCCAGGTGTGTAGCAGTGGGGTAGATCGGCTGCAGGAGATGTTTACATGCACAGAGATTTCTATTCTTAACCCACTAATTCAAGTAACCCAGTTTTTGGTCAGTGCATGTGAAGGACTCGCACGCATTCTGTACTCCTTGATCATGAGCTATGAAGAATTTGGTATCCAGTTTGTTTGTCCATTTATACTAATAACTAATAATTTAGCTAGCCATTTGTTGAATGATGAGGCGTCACCCTGCTCCACGTTGTGCGGTCATTTTAACGGAGAGAAATTCTTGAGGTGCTGAACTTTTTGACATGTCAACAAAAAATTTGATATATATAAACTTAAATATTGTAAGTAGCTTTTATATATGGTGGATTTTAAATGATGAAATTTCTTCAGTGCCAGTTAAACATGACCACAACCCAATCAGTGCTTGTACTGTAGTATTAATTCATTACCTGTGAAGCATCATCATCAGTGATACCTTAGTGATACATCTGATGAGGATGTTTAATGTTTTAAATGCAGCTACGTTGTTCATTCTGTTGTGTCATTTAAAGTGTGATCAGTGACGTCTGAGATTTGGTGCATGACACCACATGAGGAGACTGACTATAATCTATGTTGCATGACCAGTGGGCAGCATAGTTTTAAATGAACCCCTCTGCTTACATCTGACTGACAGCAGCTTTGATATGAAGACTATAGTCATACATGTGGCGGTCTACACTAAAATCACACTGTTGAAATGAAAACATCACTCATATTTCAATTGAAATGTCCATCAAAGTTAGTTCACTATCCACTGTGGATTACTTGCAATTTCTTCTCCTGTGATACATTTGCTGGCAGAAGCAGTGATGACAAGCCGAAGCTCTAGCCGGATGATGGAATGACTATGTGAGCACGTGTCCTGGGTATCGCTCTCTTTACTCTGTCAAAGAGATGCCTCCTGTCTCTGCTTAGTGGCAGAAGATGCATTACATTGCGGTGACATTCGAAATGGTCCCTGAGGTGCTCCACCATTGCTTTGACTGACAGATCTGCTTGAGAAACCAGTGCTGGCCCATAATTTACCAGATGCTGTGTGTTCTCTGTGGTATTTTGGATTCCCTCTCGTTCTTACATTCCAAGATATGCAGAGGTGTGTTGCTGTCTTATTTTTTTTTCCTTAGCATCACTGTAGTTGCACTGGAAATGTTGTACAATATGGTCTGTTCAGCTTATTAAAAAATGGACAGTTAGTAGAATGGAGAGCTCCATTCAGTTGTTAAGCCATTTCCTGTCTCATAGCAGCTGACAGTCAACGGGACTGAGCTTCAGCTTGCTCAATAGCACATTTTCTGAACAGGGAAATGTATGATCTGTGTAACTTTCCATCTCCATCTGTCACTGGAGACCGAAGACTTCTCTGGTGAAATAGGGGAAAAAAAGACAAATTCAATAAATATAATTAACCACGTAGTAATAAGTAGTTAAGAGGTTTTAATTCATTGCTGCATTACTCTTTTCTGTAAATAATGTAATTTTAAATTAATATATATAACATTTCACTTTAACCACCTCTGTGGGTTATACTTTTACATATTTACAAGATTAAGCTTCTTATGTTCTTAAAGTAATTTTAAACAACCTCATTCTTGTTAATTCAAGTACTTTCCTCATTGGAAAATGACTACTTACATGAGCAGCAACTTATTATAATTCAAAAATATACAACTGTAACTTTGTGCAGTGGCATTAAACTAATGAGACAAGGAAACAATAACGGCACAAACTCATTAAAACTAGTTTTATTAACCCTTTGTTATTGCCACTAATTATGCATAGCAGATGGTGCTCTGCAGGGACAACACAGTGGTAGACTTTGGAAGTCAGAGTTGTTCAGGAAATGGTTTCTCTCTGTCATTACTCATATCACCACAAATTAAATTACAGAAACAGTCACTGAATGCTGAAAATCAAAGGCATGGAAGGAAATATAAAGAATCAGTAAGCTGTATATCTTGTTTTTATAACGTTATGTTTTATGAGTCTAAATTTGAACTATTTTACAACCATTCTTTTTTTAGTTGAATCATTTCAGATCTGAATTAATCTAACTGAATTTGAGCAGTTTGAATATAGTTTTTGAGCACTGCATGTTTAGATTTATTAGTCATAGAAAATATTATTGTATATATTGGTGTGTGTGTGTGCGTGTGTGTGTGTGTGTGTGTGTGTGTGTGTGTATAGAAATGATACAACTTAAAATTTATGATGAAATATTAAAATTTGGGGACTTAGACCAAAGGGTGCATCACAGTGCTGCCATGGTTAGCACTGTCAGAGTTCGAAACTCCTCTCACCCAGTGTCTTTTGGGATTGGGTCCACACACATGCAACTACACTTGTGAGCCTCTACAGGATCATGGGTGTGGCTGTAAAGCAGTAGACATGATGGACAGATAGATGTTCAGTTTCTGACAATGACAGTGTCATAGGTGCATCCCAGGTCTCTTAGAAACACTGTCATTTCCCTCACTTAGATCTTCTCCTTGTGTCTTAGTCCCGCCCATGTAAGACGCAAAGAACGTGAGGAGAGAAGACTCGAGAAAACATGTTATTAACGACATGAGATGTCCTTTCCTCAGAGCTGTCATCTGAAGTGTCCAATCACCAAATGATTTCTGATAAAGGGGCATGTCAGTTTATAAAAACATTTACACAAAGGATGGTCTTGTGTATCCTCAGTCATGGCTCCTCCAACATCGTCCCTGCTCCTCAGAGCCAATATGAGAGACTTGTAATGTCCTACGACTGAGGATGTAGAAATGATATTATAAGAGATATGAAATGTGCCCATTGAGGTGATAATTAAATGATTTGTTTTAGCATGGGGGTCATAGTGATGCTGTTGTACCGAGTTACATTATATTTATTATTACATTATAGTTGTTTCTCATATTTTGCCTCCCTCATCTGTGAAAATATGGATAAAAGATATGAGAAACACCCCCTTTACAACAACACCTTTAAGTATGACCTCAATCATATAGTTACTGAAGTGTAATCAATTATACAGGTGTACCTAATAAATTGGCCACTTAGTGTAACTTGAGATACATAGTTTACAAAAGTTCTATAAATTCAGTGGCATTTAAAATTTTATATCTGGTTGTTTGACTTGACTCTTGACTTGACTTTTAGTTGCTAATATGAACAGTCCATTTTAGGAGTATTAGGGGGATGGCTTGTTAATTTATTTAAAATTAAGTAATGCAGCCTGACTTGTTCAGCTGAAATCCATCTCATGGCCCTGACCAAGAGCGAGCACCAGAGGAATACCCCTGACAGGCAGAACATTACAAGCTCCCAGGCTGCGTTCAGAAGTACAACAAAACATCTATGCTGATCTGCTTAGCCATCCTGCCCCCTCAACCCCCTAATGAACAAGGGCAAGAGAGCTCTTGGGCTTTAGCCTCTCTCTGTTACCCTAACTTAACAAGATGTCCCCCTACTTGCTTGCCTTCTCTCACACACACAGACACACATGCACGCAGAAACACACACTTCCCAAACCCCAAACCACTAACCCTCAGCCCAATCTGTCTGTGCCACTGAAGTATTATTAGACTTACACACTCTCAAAGGGGAAACAGTGAGTGCTGAGAGCTGGAAGAAGAGATATGCTACAGGGGCTACTAGTTCCATTAAAATGGCATTCACTGGGGCCTTTGTTATCATTGGCCCTGATGTTTTCAGGATGTAGTGGGGCTTGCCGATCCATGACCATCTCATCTATCTTTCAGGATTTGAAGGAAGTTGGTGTGAAATTGACACCAATGAGTGTAGCTCAAATCCATGCCAAAACCAGGGCGATTGTGTGGACAGGGTCAACAGTTACAGGTAAAGACTGCAATACATAACCAGCTTTTCATTTCTTAGGAGGCTTTGTAAGGATGGACTTCAAACATTTGTAAACCTGTTATATCAGTACTAAAGACCTTTATTCCTGTATGTGTTTCAGGTCATTAAACTGTCTTTTCGATATTGCGTTAGATTACCCTGAACTAGTGTATCAGATTTATGGTGAGCTCATACTCTCTCATAATATTATCCAGCAAATATAGGAATGTACCTATGCAATTAAGTCAAATTATTAACACAATATTTGCCTTAATTGCTTTTGTCATGTAGGCCTTTGGTTTAGTTAAACTGTCACAATTCAGGCTTCCATTACTGTGCTATGTGAGCAATCAGACAAAATGTTAATTGCAATCAATATAATTAAATTCCAGTTGTTTTTTGCTCTGTCCATGTGCTCATAGGAAAAACATGTATCTTCTGTTTTCCTACTGAGGCTATCAGTAACTGATTTTTGTTTTACAGCTGTAATTGTAAGATGGGATTTTCTGGCCTTCACTGTGAGGAAAACATCAATGAATGTGCCTCTAGCCCATGCCACAATGCAGGCATTTGTCAAGACCTGGAGAGCAAGTAAGTATGAATATAACTCCTTTCTTACTTCGAATTTTCACCTTATTGATTTTTTTAACTGTGCATATCAGTAAAGGCCAGAAAGAATTAATGCCCTGAGTTTGTTTTGAAAGGTGAATGAAAATGAACTGAGAACTAAAGAAAACGCGAGGTTGTGGTGTTCTCCTTCCAAGTGTTCCTCTTTATATAACGAGCCTGTCTTCATCCCTGACACACATGCAGTAAGTTGCTATACTGAAGACAGGGAGTGAATTCACAGGAGCACATCATGTATCTAGATTGGGCTTTACTCCACTGGTGCTTCTCTCTGCTGTGCTTAATGGGAGCCCCGGGGCCTTCCAGGCTTAATCGGACAGATGGGTAGAGCATTCCCAGGGCCAATGAGAGTCCTAAATGGTTTGTCTTCAGTTTGCCTCCCATTATGATTTTGCTCTCATGCGACCTGGCACTGCTCAGAGCATTCCCATGATTGCACAGTCCAGGGAAGTTCACATCAGGTGTGTTTTTATCCTCCCTGCCCACTACAAGCACTACCCATGCCGATATCTCCATCTCCCTGACCCAAAACCACAACATATCCATCTATACTGTGGTGATGAATCGAACTCAGTTTTTATGTATGAACCTAAACTAACTGACCATCTCGACCGTTACCAGCCAGTGGTATAACAAATTAAAATTTTACATAATTAGGTGGCACACTTGTTTTGTCACATGCCAAAAAAAATACCATTTGATATATTACAGTAATTTGGTAGGATCTAACTGGTTTACCGATGAAAAATTATGTTTAACTAATCATATGATGTAGTTTATATTTTAGCACAGAGGTATCTAATTGCATGCGTTGTTATTATCTCACTTACAAACCGGATAATCATCTCCACTGAGGGATGTGGTCAGGGGATATTAGATTCACCAACACCTGCAAAGAGGGATTTGAATTGAGTAAACCACTTTATTTGACAGATTGAATTCTTCCCTTTAGTAATAAGTCATCAAACATAATTCTAATTAAGTTGCACACTGGGAAACTTAATTGATGTCATACCATTAATTTTTGCATGAAGAGCTGCCGGTTAGTTTGAGAAAGAAAAATGGCTCTTAATCTGCATCTTGGTTCATCTTGGTGGGTTACTCCACTGCTTCTTTGTGCAGTTTTTACTGAGAAAAATCATTCTGCTTGTCTAAAATTTACACTGAGAGCTAGACACAAAGGTATGGTGTAATTACTGTGACACACCGGTCCTCACTGGATTTCACTTTATTCTTGATAATCGAGTGTTATCACATCTTCTTTAGGTTCAGCTGCATTTGCCCTCCTGGTTATTTTGGAACGCTGTGCGACCTGGATGTGAATGAGTGTGAAGTTTCACCTTGCCTACATGAGGGCATCTGTATCAACACACCTGGGGGCTTCGAGTGTGTCTGTCGCCCTGGATACTCAGGTAACTCTTTTGCCCTTAGGTGACATGAAGATCAATTTAAGAGTCCAAAAGCTTATCGTGACTGCTGCGGTCACACGCTATTGAGGCAACTGACACAGATCTGGCTTAGTGTTAATTAGCCCACCTGCCTCTGCGAGATACAGCGCCTGCTTTTCAGTAAAGCCAACAAGAGATGCATTTATGTCACACTTTTATCTGATGAAAACTTCTCAGTGTCTCTTAGTTGCCTTTATTTCATTTCATCAGTCTCACAGCGCTATTGTTGTTTAACTTCAATCCATTTTTCTTATTTCCTACCCAGACAGATATTGAGCTATTTTAGCGTGCGTGCGCACGCTATCTAAAGCCGATTCCTGTCAGGTACAGGGAAGATTAATTTCATTTGTCTTCCACACTGTATCATCAATTTATCCTTCCCCAGTTGAGAGAGGGAGGAAATCTCTGAGGTATTGCTACTCTGGAGAGCAGAATCTGACACGCGTGGCCCAATTCCCACAGAAGCAGCTTTTATTATTAGGCCTGCGTACAGCATGGTACAAGTCATTACTTTTTCTGTTGCTCTAAGCTCATCTGAGGAAACAGGGTTCCCCAAGAGAGCAAGCGGCCAGAGAATACAGTTTGGATTGGTTCAAACCAACTAGAACTCGTACAAAATATTTGCTCCAATAACACAAGTAACTGCAACTTTTCACAAAATCACAACCATCTTCTTGATGCTACTGTAGCTTCTTTTTTCATTATTGTAAATTTGCCTTGTCTTAAAGTGATTCGTCACATTGTGTTCTTGTAGCCTGATTGGAACTGATTGATCTGCTTTGATCGTATGAAGTGTCATCTCTTCTATCACTGAATTATTATAACTCATTGTGTCACTTGATGATGATATCATATTACTTTCTTCAGCCATCAGGGAAGTCGAGGGTTGGTTTTTGCATAGCGAATGCCAAAATTAATTTTCGCCGGAACAGTTGAAGCTGCTTACTAATAAATCAATGTAGTGCTATATCTACTCACTTTCACGGATGTGATTAAGCTATGATGACACTTCACTGCCACCTGCATCACTATCTGTATTGAATTTTCTTTTTTTTTTTGTTTGTTTGTTTTTTGTTTAGTGAGTCACCCGGTACATCTATTTTCTGCTTTCTCAGTCAATCTTTTGATTTCACTGTCTCTTCATATGGCAGTTTTTGCTGAGAAGTTATTTAGAGGCTTTGACTGTTAGTCTTTCTTTTTGAAACTGATGGGAAATTTTTTTTTAACCTTTCTTTTAACCTCTAACAGGCTAGAGCTTTGAAAAATAATTAAAGCAAGAAGCCAGAAAATTGTTTTATTCACATTTCTGACACATCCAACAGCTTTTACCATTATGTTTTATCTTTCTAAAAGTCTGTGTGACCCCAGTAAGGGGGTTGGCATTAAGCTTAAACAAGTGATTTTTTTTGTCTTGTAGTGTTCCTCACTTCTGATCAAGTCAGGTGTCAATATTCATCATTTGTTTGATAACAGTATGGCTCTAATTTAATCATGTGCAAGTATGCCTTATTTTTATATACAGTGTAATTTTGTTCAGCCTGTGTCATAGTTACAGACTCAGTAAGACGGTCTTGGCAGGTTTCTAGATCTTAGTTCTTTGTTATTTAGGATGTTTGGTTTAAAAAGCTCTGCAATCTCACTAATGTATTTCTTAGCAGTGTATAAGTGCTGCGCTGAGGTCAGAAGTCATTATAATGACATGATTAATGGATAATCTTGTTTATATAAATCACGATTTAAGCACACTATTCGTCACCTTGTGTTTTCTTGTTTTCACCCACCATTAAAGAGCACGTTCCCTTGAGTGATGGTACAGTGCAATCAGCACATTGTTGCAGTTTTCGCAGTCAGCACATTGCTGGGTAATGATGTTCTGGCTCTGCCGGTGTTGTTTTGAAGTTAAGGCTTGAGTAAATTCAGTCTTTTGTTGGGTGAACTTGATGTATAATATTTGGTCATTTATTTGCCACCGAGTCTCTGCAGAGTAATGTAGTGGAAAAGCATGCGAATGGAAAAAAAACATGCAATGCTCATGCTGCCTTATCAGTACTTTATATTAATACCTTATTTACTTACATTAGCTCAAACAAGGATCGTTTTTGCTACTGTGAAACAGATTTACTACATGACTTATGAGCTTAATGATTAAATATGTTTTTTTTTCATAAATAGAAATATTGGCGCAACAACATATCAAGAAAGCAGACAACCTACATTTCAAGCGATCACATTTAAGCCTTATTTTTATTTAAAATCACATTCTTTTCTCATGCGTTCATCATGCAACATTGAACAACCAGGACACCTTGTAGTATAGCTGTATTAATTAATTATTTGTTCTTAGTAAGTTTTAGAATTTTACCACCTAATTTTACTAGTTTTTACAAAACCCAAAATATTCTTCTGACCTAATAAATAAGGTACATACGTGTTTTTTATGTGATGCTTTTTAATGAATGATGTGAAAAGGAAGTGTCATAATATGTGTATATCAATAGATGTTTTTTCCACCATTGTATTTCACCTGCAGTATTCCATTGTTTCCCTTCTGTATTACATTATTCATTTCATTTTCTTTTGCTGTTCTGTTATTTTGGGGTTCAAGCAATGTATTGTCACCTATGCAATCCTAAAACACGGCTCTTCCAGTTACTGTATACATCTCATTTTGGCTGAGTGAAACAGGTTATCAGTTTGGCAAATGGAAAGGAATCATCCTACTTTGTTCAAGGAGAGAACATGATAGATTTTCTGTGCACTAAAAAGTTTATTTATTCCCTTTCATGATAAGACACTGAAGGAATTAAATAAATTCTTGCTCCCATTGCCACCATGTTTGTTTACATCTGTCTCACCCCACAGATGAAATGCTAACCAAATGATTAATGATGGGGTAGTCAATTTTTTATCACTACATTCCTAGAAATCTAGAGTAGGTTTAGGGGTAGTAAATAATCTTTTTGTTTTTTTATTTATTTTTTTACAACTTTAGTGAAAAACAACATAAAGGTGTTTTAAAGTTGGTGACAGCACATTGATTTATTTAATCAGGAAACATAGTCAACACTGTGGATTGTCTCCAAAGTTGTACCTTCTATAATTTAGACAATTATAAACATTACATCAGTGTGTTTTCCTAACTTCTGGTTCTGATTTATTGTTATTAGTGTTATCTGGTGTTTCTTTCACAGCATGAACGCTTCCGTTATCCTTCATTTCTTTCGTGACCTCATTGCTATCTTTGTGAGGTCTGCATAAATAAAGCTGATTTACAGGATTCAGTGAATCCTCAGACTTACCACATCTTAAATTTGCCTGATGGACAGACGGTGAAGTATGTTGTTTTGAGGATGATTCATGTGTTCTCTTGGAGTCAGCATATTTGGTGCAGTAGGGTTTATGTTGAGGAGTTGCAACTTAATAGACCTGGTACTGCGTAGTCATTGTGTAGTCAGCAGTAAGGATATACACCACTTATATTACTATGACACAGTTCTCTATTAGTTCCGTGTTACATTTCACTGAGTGTTGTAATGTTTTTTTTTCTATTTATGTTCTGAAGCAATAAACAGACCTTGCACTTAATAAACTGTTTGATATGTAATGGAGTATTTTACTAAAACGTGTATTTTTTTTTTCCTAGGGACACGATGTGAAGACAATATCAATGAGTGTCTTTCAAGCCCATGCCAAAATAGTGGGAGATGTATTGATTTGCCTAATCAATACCACTGCATGTGTCCTGATGGCTTCACTGGGCTCCACTGTGAGACCAACATCAATGAATGCATGTCAGCACCTTGTCTTCACGGGAGGGACTCCCCCCCCCCCCCCCCCAACATTTAAAACAGAAACACTGGAAATTGTGAAGAAACGGCATGGAATTATTTTTAATTACACTTCTTGGCAGAGTTGAGAGATGTCACATGATGTAAGGAGCTAATGTGTTGCACTTAAGAGTACAGGTTGTCTCAGTGGTCTCTAAATTATAGTCATTAATTCTACTTAAGGGGAAATATTCAGTATCTCTCTAAGGATTCTGCATAAACTATACAGCAAAAGACCTGCATTTACAGTATGGCTGTTTTTAGTTGGTTTCATTATTAATTCTGACTCCATCTGTTGTGACCTTCTCAGCTGTAGAGATGGAATATATTCATACTCCTGCCTCTGTGAATCTGGATGGACTGGCAGCAGATGCGAAACAAACATTGATGTGAGTTGATCTTACTTAACTTAACCTGTTCAAAAGGAATATCAGGAGAATTTCGAAATGTGTTTGTGGCCTTTGGTATCACTAACTGTTGATTTTTCTACAAGATAATCCATTGAAATCTGGGGCATGTCAGGACTGTACAAATACCTAATGAAAAGAAGTGACTTAGTCTAATGCACAATTGATTTTAACCACAGTTTGTGCTGGACTGGACAAAACACTGAGCTGCTTACCAGGTCTCTGTGTTATTGAATATATAATATTGCCATTTGGTATGTAACAATTAATTCTAATCTGTAGTTGTTGTTTTTTTTTTCTTTTACTAATCCCATTTGTGCATTTTAGATTGTAGCTCCTCCATTTCATTGTTGTATCTGTCTGAATATTCTGTTATTGGTGCAGTGCCTGACTCTTGTAATATGATCTCTTATCATTGCAGGATTGTGCTTCCAGTCCCTGTTTGAATGGAGGCTCATGTGTGGATCTCATTGATAAATATGCATGCTTCTGTCAGAATGGCTACACGGGGAAAATCTGTGAGAATAATGTGGATATCTGCAAGGAGACTGCTTTTAATGTCTCACTGTGTTTAAATGGAGCTACCTGCCTTGATGGTGAAGGATCAAATTTTACATGCAGGTGAGTTGGTCCACTGTTGGAAGTTTGTTATTGTTTTGATGTAATGATACTGAATGATCTTTACTGAGTGGAGTCATAGTAGTTGACTGGAACAATATGCACTCCTCAGTGTGACCTGGATGGTCAGTGTAAATGTGTCAATGTGCCTTAGCCTTTCCAAAGTTGAAAATACATCAGCAATGAATGGATTACATAATGTTTTCATTTGCTCTAAACTGAGCTGCAATCATTAGCATATCTGGCAAACTAGCTTACTACCTACAGTAGTACTTGATCATTACTGCAAAAGCCAAGAGGCACAAAATTAACTTGTTTGGTCAGATTAGTGAAAGTGAAAAGCTAGTGTTATCCAGCGTGTTCACATGGTCATGCACAGTGCAAGGCCCTTGCTGACCCTGCTATAATGCGAATACGCCATACGGGTGATTAGATTAGAACTAATCAACATGTGCTGCATATTAATCAGTGAAGTATTTACCCCTCCAAAACTCGCTGGCTTGAATAATATTTCACCAAGCAAATAGCCCGTCTGTTTGCATATGAGTGTACTTGTTACTGTACAACTGGAAAAATTCTGAAACTCAAGTAGGCTGTTAGTTTTTATTAATGTTTGATTTTTTTTTTTTTATATACCTGTTTGTGTGTTATCTCAGTTATATGGTCATTTTTGGAATTAGCTAGTAGCTACGGTTGTTGTTTTACTGTAGTTATGTACTATAATATGACTGAGTATTTTTGACCCAGTTGACTTGTGTAAATAACAAATAGACTAGAAAGAAAGTCACTTTCAGATTTTCCCGACTCGCATGTTGACATTTGGCACGTGTTTTACGTCGGATGCCCTTCCTGACATAACCCTGACTCGAACCCGGGCTGCAGCGCCTTAACCACTAGCCTACCAGGGACGGCTAAATAAGAAATAGACTAAACCTTTAAAAAATTGTATAAATATATAGCAGATACTCTAAAGTATGATGCGGTCAGCTATGATGATATGTCATTTAAATAGGCTTTGAAGGGCCAGTCCGAGTCCACATGAGAAGTTACAGGCTGACTTTCATTACGCCTCTGCTGTAAATGGCAAATGTGCCATGTGAGGAGGGAAAGACTTATAAATGTATGGTGAGGATCTGAATATTTCAAAATCAAAATTTCATATTTAATGGTTAAAATTGGTGTGGGTGTATTCTACGAATTTTGCTGGTCTCTAATTAAAAGTGCATCTTGTCTCAGAAGAGTTGTGCTACACAGTACCTGTATCTGTGCACGTCTATACAGTAGCGGTCCTCCAGGTTGGTTGCAGGAGAATCATTACTTTTTAATTGCTGACATACTCTCCCTTGAGTGATGAAGTACTGGGTATCTGAATACAAGGTTTATGTAGTACATGTGCAGATTTGACACAGCAGCTCCCTGGATGTCTTACAGTTAATTACATTGTGCTGATGTTCTGCTACTGTATATGCTCAGTGTCATGATTTAATGTATCTCAGACTACCACAACCTGAGGTTGCTGATCTTTACAGTGTTATATATATTGATGCACTGTCTACAGCATTTTTAGATTGTTCCCTTCATTTTAGGCATTTTTTTGTATATATTACAAGGAGGCAATCTGCTGTAACATTGTGCATTTACAGATAACTGTGCACATGAAAGGAAGAGTTAGCATACACACACACTTTCTAGTTAATAATGTCCTCTAGTGTCCTGCTGATCTGCAGCAGGGTGATTCTGCATTGTTTGCACTTTCCACTGCAGCTGAAAATTATTGTGCTGAATTGCAATTAGATTTGGAAATAAAATTAAAGATATTCTATTGTTAGTTATGTTAGTGCATTATTAACTTATTATGGGCCTCATTTAGAAATCAAAGCTTGAGTTATATACTGTGTGGAAAGCTACTATTTTGCCAGTTCATTACTGTGTGAATATATTGTGATATAAAACTGGAATTACCACTACCCATTTGTATGTCTCCGCCAACCAGCCTGCCAGGAGTGAGGTGACTGACCTTGACCTTTGACCACCAAAATCTAATCAGTTCATCACTGAGTCCAATAAATTTGATGAAATTGTTTTATGCCTCTGCCAGCGTGGAGGCATAAAAATTAATAAACGAACTTTAAATAAAATACAAATTTAGTTGTCTGTGTTAGTCCATCTCAGGTGACAGCATGTTCTGTCTTGTGTTTTTGTTGTAGGAGGCTGCCTTTTTCACTTGCAGTTACATCATGGACTGTGACTTTAAAATCACTTTTAAAGTTTTTTTTTTTTCTCCATCCACATAATTCTTTTGCATTTCCACACTAGTGAATAGAACAGAGTACACAATCAGTCATATAATAGTTTCCTGGCCAGACTACAGCTACAAAACATGAAGTACACCGTGTTGCTTTATCTGCATGTTACGTGTGAAGTGGTGCATATTCAGTTATGCACCTGTTTGGCAAATGGCCTCAAAGGCACTCCAATCTCTCTCTACAGTGGTGGTCAGCCAAGAGGTCATGCATGAAATCCTTAAAAGAAGACCTTTATTCTGATGCTGTAGTTGTTACCTGATCCAATCAGCTCTGCCTCACAGGGCTCAGTTTACAACAGATGTTCAATCCAATGAGGAGTTTTTGCTTCATGGTAAAGTCTATTCAGTTATGAGAGAAGTTGCATTGTTTCTTTTGTTTAGTCTGCATTGTTCAGCATGTGCTACCTTTTCAGTTGTCAGATTTTCCAAAAAGTTGTTCAGTGGGTTTAAGGTCTACTGACCGTGAATTGGAAACCCAAGTCAGCAGACCTTGGTCTCCTTAGCCTCAGGTAGCTTTGATGCATGACTGGGCTCATTGTCCATCTGGAAAATGACTGCTGTTCTACAAAACTTAAAGCCGGCGGCGATGACATCTGCAGAATCGAGTGGCACTTTTTTTGCTCAGGGTGTTACTTATCCTGTGCAAATCAGCAACAGAAAACCATGACCACACCGTTGTTTATCTGTGGGTTTTATGCCCCTGCTGAATGAATCCATTCTGTTTTATCTTACCTTCAGAACAGAGCTGTGATTTCAGTTTTTGATTTGTAAACTTAACCTGACTTTTCAGTAGTTTTTAAATATTGTTTGGCACAATTTAAAAGAAGAATTTTGTCAAAGTAGTTTAATTAGTAGTAATGACAAAAAAAAAAAGAAATAATGGAAACCACTTGATAATATACTCGAGTTCAATAAAGTCACTTGCAACATTAAGTCAGAGAAATGTCATTACTGAAGGAATATTATGCTAATCTTGATACTCTTTGATAAAGTCCCCCGAACCATTTTAAGAACACAAACATTTGAGATGAAATGAAAAATCTAATATTTGAGAATGTTCACTCCAGAATAATGATTATGATTGATGAATACCTACTATTAAGGCTACGGGTTATTAGTGATTGCTTATTAATGAAAATTACATTTGAGTCCCACTGTATTATACACATCCCCCACACTCTTTATTCATTCAGAGCAGCGATAGCAGGAGTAAAAATAATTTTCTATTTCTAATAACGAGCACCAACTGACTGAAAAAAGATGTAGTACTTTTTGATAAATAATAAAAACAAGCAGTTCTTAGATACAGCACATCAGATTCACAGCGAGGAAATGACAGCACTGTGAGACAACCTCACGGTTTTAAAGTACGATATGTTTTCTTAGCTGTCCACCAGGTTTCATGGGGGATTTCTGTGAAGTGGATGTTAACGAATGCTGCTCAGCTCCCTGCCACAATGGTGCCATTTGCCAAGATCTTATTAATAGCTACACCTGCCACTGCAGGTCAGGTAAGTCACTCAGATATCCTGTGAGTTTCTCAGTTTACTTTAGAAATTAGGTAACTGAAGTACCCTTTTTTCATTTATACAAACCTCTTACAGGAAACTTTCATTGGTCATGAACAAGATTGTCCCAGATGTTGTAGAATACCATTACCATATCCTCTTAACGCTTACAGAACGCCCATATTGATTTGAAAGAGGGTTTACAAAGGGTCACTAAAAGTTACCATAATGCCTTCATAGGTTCTGTGCCTCAAAGCCATTTAAAAGTCGTCCATTTTTCTCCAGGGAGAAATTTGCAGTCATACAGTACTAAAACAGATGATACTGCCTCAGCTCATTAAAATGTATGTGGCATCTTACTCTTTAGTCAAAGCCTTTTCTTGTCTGTGTATGTGTGCGAACCCAAAAAGAAGCAAATCAATGTAGGAGAATCTGATTGATATTCACTTCAGAGGGTGGAAGTGGGAGAGCCTGGGCTCACCACAACACTCTGTGGGCTTTTGTTCCTGGCAGGTTGGACAGGCCTTCACTGTGAGGATGACATTAATGAGTGCCTTCCACAGCCCTGCAACCAGGGGATATGCATTCAGAATGATCCAGGCTATGGCTACACCTGTTTCTGTCGTCCTGGATTTGTGGTGAGGCTCCCCACTTTATTCCTCATCCCCATCCTTTTTTCATTCTAATTATTAACCTTTACATTTTGCACCCTCAACTATTAGCCCTGTTTCTGCGATTGCCTTTTGTTGTTGCTGTAGTCTACTCATCATTTTAATTCCATTTTGTTGATGTCACTGCTGCTCCTACTTCATTAAAACAATTTAATGTTCTACATAACAATGAAAATAGTTTGAATTTAAATAGTTTTGTGACATTTCACCAATGTCATGTTCTTGTTATTCAAACTGTACACATTGTTCTATTTTGCATCATATTGCAGCGATACATGGCACATCTAAAGGCTGTTTATTTTAAATACACAGGGGAGGAACTGTGAGCACAACTATGATGATTGCCTGTCGAATCCATGTCCAGAAGCACTTTCCTGTGTAGATGGGATCAACAAGGTCAGCTGCTTGCCCCCTGTTACGGATGCTGTTCCCTGGGTGACTGTAGCCGAGGACATCGCTCGTGGCTCCACACCCCGAGTGCTGCCACCAATGCTCAACCCAGCGCCAACAGCTGAGCAACTCACAGGTACAACCTGTGTGTAGATGTAAGTACAGGCAGTAACTAAGTACATTGTAGTAGAGTATAATTTTGAAGTAGCTGAACTTGAGAACTGTATGTCTAATTCATACATTTTTTAAAATGGTAACACAAAACACTGGATGTTAGCAAGACAGCACGACAAACTGGCTAATGTGCAGTTTGACCCTCTATCACGTCATGAACTACATTTCATTCGATTACACACAACCACATTCAGACGCTTAACAAACTGTCTATATGGGCTGAAAATTCAAGTAGTACTTTTGTAGCACAAAACAAAATTATTATTCTTATGTTCTTCTTTTTGTTATGAGTGTTCATCGACAATATCACAATAAATGAAACCATGCAGAGTCATATTTGCTGAAAATCCTATAATCTTACTTCACCGTTCTTTGGCTTCTAACATTTTCTCTTTTGGTTCAGTAACAGCTTCAGCTTGTGAACAAATGCACATATACCGCTGTCCATGAGGAGGGGTCCAAGCTCAACCGGTATTTATAATAATAGTGTAAAAATGAATTCACTGTTCGGGAACGGCCGAAAGTGAATTATTATTAGTGTAAAAGTGAATTATGCTCAGCAACTGTAGGGGGAGCCACACAGCAAAAGTACTCATTTTTATTTATTTGTTGTGTGAGAAATAACTTCAATATGATTATGAATTATATTTATGTATTATAAAAAAAACTCATGATTTTTTTTAACAAACTGCAAAGCTATTCTTTCCTTGTCCTTCCTAACATTTTTTGTGCACAAGAGTTTCCTGTTTAAAATGAGAAGAGACTCCCACTGGGCCGATACTTCAATTGTGATTTTAGAGCCTTTGAAACATAGCAGGAGATGATACATTAGGTTTGATTGAGAGATTGGCATAGTTTGTACAGCTGTGGTAAAGAAAAACAAAATCTTGGTACAATCTACTGTAGGTTTCTATTTACCACTAAAGCGCATTTTCTGTTTCTGTAAGAACAATAATTTCCAAGAGTGAGAGTCCAATCATTATTTTAAGCTATATCCTTTAACACCCAAATAACGGACACAGAACCCAACGTGTTATACATTATTGGTGTTGGATTCTCTGTGAGAGGAGGAATTTGGCGCACCGGGCAGATTGTTAGTCCTTGACAGATGAGGTCTGTCTACCTTTGAAACTGTTCACAAAGCTGTAAAACAGACCTATTGAACACAGACAAGCTTGAACCAATTCAGTGCAACGCTCTGAAAATCACTACGGACCAAACATAATGGAGTGCTCCCCACTGCACCTGATCCAGCCTTCATCCAGTGCATCGGTTTAGAGAGGGTTAAATATACACACAAGACACTAGTAAAAAAAAAAAAAGCTCCAGCATCTACAGGCCAAAACATCTCTTTACTCTTTTAGACATAAGTGTATAATCAAAGTAAATATGTTTTAAAGTAGGAGGACCCTGAAATTCATGAGTTTATCTAAGTAGGTCACCATCTAAACACATTTAGTGCCCTTGGTGCTGCTTGAAATAGACTCCTTTAAACCTGAGACTGCTCCGCAGCCTTTCAAATCTATTAAATCATAGTATGGAGAAGATAATTAATATGGTATACTGACAGTAGAGGATACCATTTATAACATAACATGCAATACAGTTTTTACTTTTTTCAATAACTTAATTTTAATGTAAAAAAAAATCTGTTTAGTTCAGTAGCAACAAAATTAGGAGTCTGAGGAAGAATGTCTTCCCAGGTTTTTTCCTCAGTCACTGTACATGTACTGCTGAGCTTTACAGTATTTTAGCTATACAGTATGAGAGCTGATGGGAATCTAGAAAGGACACTGCCGGTGGAGAGAGGCTTACTACAGCTAAGCCTAAATTTGGTGTACTCTCCTTGGAGTGATCTCCGCAGCACAGGCGAAGCTCTTATCTTTTGCCTCCACGTGTAGTGGAAATGAAATTACTTCAGCTTCTCAAAAATCAACCTAAGGAGTATGAAGTTAACTATAAGGTCATTTCAAACGTGTGCTGTCCACTGTTTAACATGCATTTGATGTGTATGGCACTGTTTATGTTAGCAGTCTGCTTATAGCTGCACTGGCAGTACCTGAATAGTGTGCCTGTAATCATTTAGATTCAGTGACACAACTTTATGAGTGAGTCATAATGGCTTCTACAAGATGTGCACAGATTTGAGTATTCATGAGAAAAAAAAGGTTCAGTGAGATGAAAGCAGCAGAGTCTAAATTTGTCATTTCAGCTGCAGTTTATGGCCTGTGTCAGTGCAGTATGTTGGAGTAATTTCATCGGTTATTTTTAAATTCACATATCAAAGATATTAAAAGGCACTACCAAAAAAAAAAAGCCGTATTATATTTTAGGATTTAATTCCTCTGTGTATTTCAGCAGTATAAAAACAGGCTACTCAGCTAAATCTTCTTACATTACCTATCTTGAATATAAAACATTTTCTGCCAATTTTGTAGGTACAGAATGACCTTTTGCATTTCCCCAGGGCTCTGAAATTGGGTCCAAGGATGGCAGTATTTTATGTCTGTCCTGAAAATCAATCATTCAGTCTATTACCTTACCCAATAAATCACAAATAAAACTAGACTTACATCCTAGCTCTTTTTAAATAAATGGGTCTGTATCAATTAAATTTAACTATCCAAAGTGCATCCTCATATTAATAGATCTTAAGTTCACATTTCTATAAATATTTTTTTTTTTCTCGTGGTGGTTTAACCTGCCATCCACAAACAATATGTGCCCCGCCTTCCTACGTTACATTTAATGACTCGCATCACCTCATTTATGGACTTGAGATAAGCCTAATGACCCTGATCAAATCCCATCTGAAAAATTTTGATCAAGAATTGTTCCCAGTGAGATGTTTCTTCTTCTTCTGTGGAAAATGGAAAAGCTTTTGAACCGAGTGGAGTAATAACAGTCTCCTTGCTCAGCATTATGCTAACAGTAAAAAAAAGAATATGATATCCATTAGAGGAGATTGAGAGGTGAAATAAAATAAAGTTTCAGTTGTACATATTTACATTTTCAATTTTGTCTGTCTAATGGCATGTGGATAAAAGATCTGACGATAGTGTAAGGTAGTGGTAAAACCAGGAGACCTTTGAGGGAGAGACTGAAGCTAACTGCTAATGAGGCATGCTACTACCTCCTGGCAGCAGCCTCAGACTGCATCAAAGATGACATCAGACTAAACAGGGCTTTAAAATTAATGAATAGCTTTGTCTCTGAGGGGTAATTTTCCATCATCAGCACTGGCAAACCCCATTGTCAAGAGTGAAGTAGAAGACAGCATAGCATTGTTGTTGCTTGCATTTCCTCATTAATTCACAGATCACAGTAGATCTGCTCCTGATGATTCTTACCTTTGGTGGATTTTCCTCTGGGTGTTGGTCACCGTGCTCTCCAGAGGAAATGTGGGTTTTTAGGTTAGCTTGTTTGTCAGATGCCCTGAGGGGCCCACTGTCAGATCAGAGGGAGTCTGGCCTATTAGCACTTGACATGTAACAAATATTGATAAAGGTCTCACTTGCAGCAGCCCGATTAATCATGGCAACAACTTAAAAGGATCTTTGCTGATTTCTCTTGTGTAATGATTTTTTTTTTCCAGATTAGAACAGACAGAGTGTGAGACAGGTGCATCCAGGAATGCTTTTTATTTTAACAAGTTCTCCGGTTTGACTTTTCTGCAACAAATTCCTTCAAATAATAAATATATTGAGCATGAGCACCCCTAATTTTTGCCTTCAATTGCAGTCTGAGTCAGTCTTTTAAGTCTGTCTGCGTCACTACCCCCGCTAAGCTGGAACCTCTACTGAAATATCCTATAATTGCCCATTCTCATGGATGATATGAGCCAAATTATTCCACTATAAAATGAGGCATGCAATAAACTTACATGAATACGTTAATTTCAGTAAAGACTCCTCTCCCACCTAATATAGTGCCTTTTGCATGCTTCATAGCTTTTTGGCAAATGAGACTATTTACAGTGTGCTTGTATAGTGAGAAAGGGGAAAAGCTGTGCTTTCAGAATAATGATGATCTACTTTTTGCCTTTACTTTCCACACTACACTGTAAACAAGCCCTTTTAAGTTGTATTCCATTCATGTTGCCAAGGTTATTTGATGGATACAGATCACATTTACATTTTAGGCAGCAGCGTGCAGTAGTGTGTGCAGCTGCAGAGCAACAGAACCAAAAAGTCAGTGTTCAAGCCTCTGTGGCAGAAAGCATCTGCCCTGCTGAGTGGTCCTTAGCCAATCTCTGAGTCTTTAATAATTCTGAGTGTGCTGTTCTGTATTTCACCCCGTGCACTGACCTCCCTGTGGAGCAGGCGAGTGAAAAGTTGAATTCTTCTCTCAGGGATCAATAGAGATTCTCACCAGAATTTACAGTAGAGATGCATAAATTGCAGTCTTTCTTGCTTTTGTTTTGCTATTTCACCCATTTCAGCTGTATATTTTTTTATTTTTTCTCCTAGATTCAAGCTATAATCAGTACTTTGGGAATTCATACCTGGAGTTTGAGGGTATTGACCTCAGCGCACTCAACAACATTACTGTGAGATTTCAAACCCAAGTGGCCTGGGGAACTATACTTTATGTGGACCAAGGACCTGTTAACGGTGATTTCTTTTTTATGAAACTCTTCGTCTTGGATGGACTCTTACAGGTAAAAATTGAAGTTAAATAGTTATTATGAATAATTATTATAAGGGTCTTAGCAGATACATTAATTTAATACTCTGCACACAACATTCATCTGTTACCTGGGTCATACTGTTCTTATAACTGAAAAATAAGAGACACCAAACATCTCTTTAAACCATTTCTCAAATGTTTCAGTATGTATTTTGCTGTAATGAAGAGGAAACAGTTACAAGGATCAATACGTTAGTCCGTGTTGATAATGGCAAGCTTCACACTGTTAATATCAGGTATGTTCTTTTTTTTTTGTATTCAATTAGCCATGTGAATCTCAAGGTCAATATTCACATCTGTGTTGTGGTCAACACATATATTGCTCACACAAAAAAGAAATGCTGCTGCACCGTGAAAGTTTCATTTTACAGATTTTAATGTACGGAGTATTTACGTTGACATCCCACAGGTAGTGTGCTATGTTCTGTATTTGCTTTAGGCAACAGGCACACTTACAATGATAAGCTGCTTACAGAGGTCTTAGTAATATACAAATTGTGTTCAAATACTGTTAGCACCTAAGGTGGTATTAACTTGATCCTTACTTATCCACTCATTTTAAGTGTGGCAGAATCTTTTAAGAGAAGGGCTGTAACTAATACCAGGGGAACACGTATAACTGGCAGGAATCACCAGACTGAGACTTCAGATTTTATTACGAATGGGCAAATGAGCTTACATTTTAAAGAACTAAAATAAATGTCAGAATGTGCCTATTAAAATGCATTAGTGATCACTTGCCCATATTTTATTGGCTATTCTAAAGTCTTCATTTGCAGTTTTTCATTCTGAAAAGATTAACAGGCAAGAGCTGAGCACAAAATCAATGTTTAAATGATTTAAAGGGAGGCTGTGGCCCCTTTGGTTATATTGTTCCGAAGCACATGTGCGATCTTGCTGCCAGCTTTCTCCATTATATTCTGACATCAGAAAGATTGTGGTTTAGTTTTGAGACACTAAGTTTATTATGTATGAGCTAGAAGCTGAAACAAGGCAGCTAATGTTCAACTCGCATCAGTTTAATTATCATTGTATTGCATTTCATCTTCTTATATCAGAAGTCCTATTTTGAGCAAAGATAATTGCTGATGACATTTTCAAAGTGATGAACATGGAGTGAAGGTGAGGTACTCGAGGTGAGATATGAACATACTGTGCCAAAGGTGAGAAAATAACTTCCTGGTGAAGCAAACCTGACTGGGAAGATTTCTTTGTGTTTCTTGTTAGAAAGCTGCACTGCCCTAAATATACAAGTGCACCCAGAAAGGCCATTCGGGTTTGAGAGGCTACAAGACTCCGCCCCTGTTTTTCACTGCTAGAAAAATACAGGAGCAGGATGAATCAATCATAATGTTCTGTAGCAACCCCTTGGAGACATTGCAAGAAAGAGAGCTGTCATAACTAGATGGCTGGGAGTATGGAAAAATGGTTTCTCCTGTCACAAAGCAAATTCTTTGTAATTGTCTGATGGCCGAGTCCGTCCATCTTTGTCTGGTTTGACCCAGAGCTACAACACCATGGCCATCCTCAACGTCACCGCCCAACTCATTATAGACTTTTAATATATCTTCCCGTCAAAGACGCTTTTCAATATGTTAAATAGAAACCCAGTGGGGCAGACTTCTCAAGGACAGTGAGCACAGTGCCCTCTGGCTGCCCGCCAGGCCGCTCTGGCAGACTGCTTCTAAATTAACCGCTTCTCCGCACTGGCTCCAGAGGAAGGACTTTTGCAGCTCGGAGTTAGTGCCCCGAGTGTTTAGCCGACACATGCAACAGTCTGCAAAGTACAGGCTTAACAAATCAGACTAGATTGCTTCGTGGACCCCCTAACTTCCACTCTGGGAACAATGGGTATCAAGAGACACTGGAGAGGAGACTGTGCATCTGTGGCCTGAGTACCCTCAAGCTGCAGATGGTTAGTCCAAAATCTGCACTTAGGTAATTATCTGCTTTCCCCTGTTGTTTCAAAGTGGAGAATTGGATTTTGAAAACTATGAATGGCTGTGGGGTGGGTCCAGAATAGTTGTGTCAAGGCTCATAAGACACCTGCAGGAAAACAAAATGGAGTTCAGTAGTCGCACCTCAGAAGAGGACTGTGATCAACAGAATGTATCAACAGAGCAAACAGACCAGTTATGCTTGTTTACCAATAATTCACTCTGCTTCTCAGAAAACTATTTGCAACATGTCAGAATGTTAATTTATGACTGCAGGCATGTTTTTATGTGAAAACATAAATTAAAATTGTTAATTTAACATTATCTGCAAGAGGAACATGCCTGTCTCTATTCCAGCAATTTAATTAGAGAACTGTTGTTTTTAATTATGTCTTTTTGGTAAGTTTTTTCTTCAAACATTTGGTGTCAGATAAGCCGTGATGACAGCAAAACCTAATTTCTTGAAAGGGCCACAAAAGTTTTTTTTTTTTTTTTAAAGTTAGTGTACTTGTACTTTTTGACATTAAGTGGTTGTACTCATTCATAGACAGCGCCTGGATCCCTGTGAAGCGGAGCTAACTCTTTCCGGTCATGAGAATATCAAAAGTACGGCAGGTAATTACTGGTTGGGAAACATGATACGAAGAACAAACCACGTCTTTGCAGGTGGTCTGCCACAACAGTATCTACCCAGTCAGGTAATAGCGCTGTATGATTTCTCAATCACTGACTGAAATCAAGGCTCTGACAGACATGGCTAAAATTGCAGCATAATAAAAACTGTAAAAGATCACAAGGAACTGTTCTAAACAAAACTGTCTAATAAATTATCTGTGTTTTCTCTTAGGGAGCAAAACCTTTTCACAACTATACTGGCTGCATTGAAATAATAGAAATGAATAAACTGAGGAGCTTTTACACATCTGATGCCATCAGCGGCAGCAACACAGACCAATGCAGGTAAAGTATCAGGATTCTTAAAATAAAAAACAATCTCAAGCTCTTCTGCTCTTCTTTTGATTTGTTTTTCACCTGAGATTTATAGATTTTTTTTTGTTGCTAGTTTTCCTCAAATTTACCCAAGAAGAATCACCCCCACACATTTACACACTTGTGTGTTAACATTTTGATTTGATGAGGGTTCATTTATTAATAGACACATTTTGTTTTGTCTGATGCAATGGGGGAAATTTGGCCACTCACAAATACCAGTTGGTTTCATCTCTCCCTGGCAATGAATTTAAAATTAGTATGCTTTTTGTTTTTACATTTACCGCACATTTAATGGGTAGCCTTAGCTGTACACTAATGTGGTTCATATTTAGCGTTACAGTAGAAGCAAATACTTCTAATGTGAAATTGGATTTAAAGGAAGAAGCTGTTCATTTTTTGTATTAACAGTATTTTCAGCCGTCTCCATACAGCGACTAAAACTGACATTGAATTGTCTCTACTCACGGGTAACATCTGTCAGCTGTCAGTCCTGGATCAGCTTGTTCGTCTGTGCGATAGATCTCTGTTGAAACAATGAAAAACACATCAGGGAAACACATCGCTGCACTGGCTGACATGTTTTTTTTTTCATTACGAAGCCCCAGACCCGACTATGTTGCTCCAAAGGCTCAGTGTGGCCATAGTTTCCTGAATTTAGCCTTAGTCAGAGTCAACTGCACATGCAAAAGGTCTTGTGCAAGCTCTTCATGCTCCGGCCTGGGGTTTGCTAATGAAGAAATGTCACCCAGTGCAGCAGTGTGTTTCACTGATGTGTGATTAATTGTTTTTGAGCAACAGTGGAGAATAGACAAACAAGCTGATCCAGGACTGACACAATGATGGACATTAACCATGAGCAGAGGCAATTCAGTGTCAGTTTTAGTCTCTGTATAGAGACTGCTGAAAATACTGTTAATACAAAAAATGACCGGCTTTGTCCTTTAAACTACTCTCACTTTTGTGCAATTTTGCAGATACACTCCACATGCTGTCGAACCAACCACAACAGGTTCTTCAAGTTTGGCAACTCAATCAACCACCTCTGATACAGTGAACACAGTGGGAGCCCCCACACTAACACCAGTTTGCCATGATGGTCTTTGTCGCAACAGTGGAACATGTTATGAAGTGCCTGGCGGAGCTCTGCCTTCCTGTCACTGCCCACTTCATTTTACTGGCACTTTCTGTGAGAAAGGTAGGCTTGGAAACTTTTTGGTTTACAGTTGATAGCATTCCCAGTATAGATGGTACTCTATGTAACACACCCCAACAAGTAAAAACAAAAACTTTAAAAGCCTACTGTACTATGACCTCCACAGTGGTGTCATTAAAAGCCAGCCAACAAATTATGTTGATTAATATATGCTGAGCCTCTTTGGTTAATAGGTTTCACAATGAGGAAGAATACATTCAGCTACATTAGGAATTTTGAGTGATGTGAATTATTCATAATATAATTAATGAAATGAAAGATCTTTATAAGCAGCTTGAACCATCACTATGTGCCCATGTTCACCTCTAGCACTCGCTGAGAACAAGATTGTCTTTGCAATACTCACTGAAGATTCAGTGTCCCCACTAGAAGTATTTATTTTGTACCGACCACTCCAGCACTAATACACACACTAAGGAGTTTTTACTTTGCCGTGTTCTATTCAGTGCACTTATGATGTAGCTACTGACTTGCTTTTGTACCTGTCTTACCATGCATGATGTGCTCTGACAGTGAAGGAAACAGCATGTATTTTGTTATTGTCTTTCTCTGCCACTACCAACAGTAGTAATATGAGGGTTGTGAATTAATTGCTTGTGTGCTTGATAAGGCAAGCCAAGCAGTCCACAGCTGAGAGACATGCAGTATCAGATGCTGTATTAATGATAGCTATGTTCATTCCCCTGCTCTCGAGCCATATACAGTTTCTTCAGAAAGTATTGGCACCTTCACTTTTTCCACACTTTACTGCACCGCATTTGATATAACTGCCATTTTGCCAATCTACATTCAATAAGCTATAATGACACATTTTTTTAAAAATGCCTGCACATTTTTTTTAAATCAAAAACAGAAATATCCTATTTACATAGGTTTCAGTGCCTTAATTCAGTACTTACCTGTATAAACCCCTTTGGCACCAATTATGTCTCCAAGACTTATTGTCTCTATGCTTCAGAAACTTCACAGGCCTCGTGTTCTTTTTCACACTTCATTATGCTCTAGAATTAATTTTAACTGCTATTTTTGTCCATCAGTCTACACTCAGTAACTAATTTTAAACAAATTGAAAACATTTTTGTTTTGCAAATTTATTTATTTATTTATTTTATGAACATATGAACTATGGTCATGAACTTTGGGTCATGACCGAAAGGGCAAGATCCCGGATACAGGCGGCCGAAATTAGCTTTTTCCGCAGGGCGGCCGGGCGCACCCTTAGAGATAGGGTGAGAAGCTCGGTCACCCGGGAGGAGCTCAGAGTAGAACCGCTGCTCCTCCACATCGAGAGGAGCCAGCTGAGGTGGCTCGGGCATGTGTTTCAGATGCCTCCTGGGCGCCTTCCTAGGAAGGTGTTCCAGGCATGTCCCACCGGGAGGAGGCCCCGGGGAAGACCCAGGACACGCTGGAGGGACTATGTCTCTCGGCTGGCCTGGGAACGCCGCGGCATTCCCCCGGAGGAGCTGGAGGAAGTGTCTGGAGAGAGGGAGGTCTGGGCATCTTTGCTTAGACTGCTGCCCCTGCGACCCGGTCCCGGATAAGCGGAAGAAAATGGATGGATGGATGGATATTTAAAAGTCAAAAACTGAAATTTCTTTTTTTTATAACTGTGGCACTGTGCACCCTGTTTAGTTTTTTTTTTTTTTTAGATGTATTCAGAAATTGATCACCTATGTGTTACACTGGTTACATATGCTAGGCTAAACTGGCTGAAGATAGTTTACAAAGGCACACAACTGTGTATACAAGTCCTTACATTGGTTGCCTGCCCTTTTGGATATTGATTAAAAATTTCTTTTACTTGTATTTAAAGCACTTCATGGTCTTGTACTGGTATACCTTCGATGTGCTGACTTTGTCATTATCGGGTATTGAATGTTCACTGATGGACAAAATGGCAGTTTATTCCATTTCAAATTAAATTGAGAACAGTAAATGTGGAAACTTGTACTGTTGTACTGAATGCTTTCAATTGGGATATTTGGATAGCAGTGGCCAACAAATAACATACTGTATGGGCTGTACTCTTTAGTTTAAATTCTTCCTAGCATTGCAAAGTCTCAGTAATGAAGCCATTAGCACGTCTTGTGCACCTGCCACCCTTATTTGGCACCTCTGCCATGTGTTAAAAAATGCTAATTTACAGGTGTTTAAGTAATCTGCTGAAATGTTATTTGTCTCTCCAGGCACTCTTACAAAAAAAAGGCTACTTTTAAGACTTCACTCATTTGTTTTTCCCCATGGGGCAGTTACATCAAGCAAAGCGGTGCCCCGCTCTGCTTGCGTGACAGAGATTTTACTTTGCTAAGCCAGTTATTAAAGATGCTTTGACCAACTTCTAACCAGCCAGTAGGAAGAATGAATATGATTCATTCATTGAATTCATTTACTCCTTTATTTCTCACTGTTGTAGCCTTCAGGTTCAGAGAAAGGTCATTACTAATGTGCCCAAAAATATCACCATATGACTGCAGCACATTAACCAGTTGCATGAATGTGTGTGTGTGTGACACGGTGCAAGCTTAATGCAAACTTTGTCAGTTGGAAATTAACCGTTAACCTTAAGATGCATTGTAACCTATTTGATGTAATAATGCATATATACAGTAAATTCCTACCAACATACCTATAAAACTAATCAGATGTTATGCTTGATGTGCATATGCAGTCTCATCACTGTGCACTTTTCATTTAATTTTTTCTGATGGAATCTACCCTCAGCTTTTACTTTCTATGTCCATAAAGTAAATTCAGCTTATCCTTCAGCTTATCACACTCATAGACATTTCCTTTAAACACCAGCAGTGGCCTTTGAGAGTCATTTCTGGTGAGTTTGAAGAATTGCTTCTCCTCAAAAGCAGTTCAGTCTCTCAGGTTTAACAGAGTGCAATCTCATAGGAGCACTCATCCACTGATGTGCTTAGCGATGCTAGTTGCTCTAACCTGCAGATGTCCAAAGTCCAGAGGCTGTTTATTTGCTGACAGTCTGTGAATGTGTATTGCTACGGCAGCTTTCCTGGGCGACAACCCTTGTCCTCACGTCTTGTTGAATTAAGTAATAGCCACAGGAGATGCATAAAGCAAGTAACCACTGCTCTCAGTTAATTATGTCATTCTACCCAGTGACTAATGATGTTGACTTGTTTGAGTCCTAGATGAAATGCTGATATGTCACACAGCATGTGTCCAAGATGAATCCTAGGTTGTGTGCGTGTCTCAGCAGCCTGTTAGACTATCTTTGAAGAAGGTCTAAACTATTAATGTCAGCAATACATATAACTAAAAGGTATCCTAATAATCAGTTCTGTTTAGATGGCCTAAAATTACAAATTACAGTTTTCCAGATCAAATTAAGAATCAGAATTACCACCTTGCTGTTGTTTGCCTTTGCCAGCCAGTCAAATTCACAAGAATGAGATGGATGTGAGGTCACAGTGACCTTTGACATTTGTGCCAAATTTAAAGAATTTTTCTTGAGGCATTGCTGAGATATCGCATTCATGAGAATGTGATGAACGTACGAATGGACAGACAACCCCAAAAACAACAATGCCTCTAGCAGCAGCAATCACCAACATTAAAACTCCCACATAAGACAACCTCACTACTATCTGGAGTTTTACAATGTACCCTGTTGTACTGTACAATTATTTTGAATTATAAAAGTACATATTAGATGTATTTACTGTATATGTTTGTTTATTTAACATGGACAGTACACATAAACATGGTTACACAGGAAGCGAGAACAGATGTAATGTATAAAAGGTGTATAGCTGAAGCTTGTATGTGGCCCCATGGATGCCACTGTTTCAGGAAAAAAGCAATAAAACATATAATACTGTGTACATGCATGTATTTATGCATGTGTTTGTGTGTTTATGTATCACATACCTTGGCATATATGGGTTAGAGTATGTGAATGTAAGAATATACATGTGCAGTAGGTACACATGCATTGGTGAAACAGTACTTGTACTCAGGTATAATGCTCTAAAGTAAAATTAGGCCTAGCTCAGTATTTCCACTTGATGCAACTTTACTTCTACTCCACCACATGTTAGAGTAGCAGTAGTAGTAGTATATGTTTTTTACTCCACCACAAAATATGTTATAGTTACTTAGCTTTGTCATAGTACTATATACATATCTGCACACATTTGTAAATCCCATGAAAGCTGTTAATCTAAAACTTTCAGATTTAGTAGATACCTATGTGCAGCCTGTATGTAAGAAGCTTGACCCATGGGAGCACTGAATCTCATTCTCTCATGTTTGGACCATGGGGTTGCACCTGTGATAGGGTGTAATCCAGGCCAGTGCCTGGCGGTTGAGTGAGTGTTTGATATCAAGTAACCAACCATAAGACACATTTTGTGAAGATAAAGCTAGTTGATCTGAGCATGTCAGAGTTTTAAGCTAAGATAAATTGTCTTTTCAAAGACAACAGAGTAGGTTGTAGACCTTGAAGAAAACGCTCTGTCAAGTACGTAAGCATTCAAATGAAGGTTAAGTGATCACAAATATTAGTTATGGTGTAAATGGCTACAAGGTAAGGAGGGAAGTAAGCATAAAGGAGGAAAGCATGAGGCATAAAATTATTCAGACTGGGTCTGTATTGATCATGACCTCCTTCTATGGCTCATTACCTTGGGTCCTTACTTCTCTTATGTTTGAAGCTGTTGGCCAGACAGGAATAATAAAATGGAAGTTCAGCGCACAGTTTTGTCCCGTTTGTCTTTTCAGCAACTTTTATGTTTCGGCGTAACCTCATACACAACATCTGTATCAAATTATTCACTTCCATAGTTAGTTTCTGATATTTTGCCTTTAACTTCTTCAATCTAATCTAACCCACTATTAACCCATATTTTTAACAATATAAAAATGTTTTATTTCTGTATCCATATCAATACTCAACATCAAAATGACAACAGGAACTTAACTAACCTGTAAAAATTAAGCACATCAAATTTAATCACAAAGGTTATAAAATATAAATTGGTCTTCAGTGGGTAATACATTCACTATCAGTACCAGAAAGAATCTTTTCTGTAAGGACAAATAGCAACTAGCTCTTTAAAAAGCCAACAAAAGACTTTTAGGGTGGTGAGCCTTTCTTTTTTTTGTGTTTGACATTAATAAGAGCAGATGAGGGGTTGTCAGCTTCCTGCTTTACCAACACACTGACTAGGTGATGCCAGCTCTTTTTGTGGGCATCTAGTGTGTGTTCGCTATAATTGCCGGTGTCTTTAAAAATGAGCCAGCTCAATCTGCCTTACTCAGAAATTGCCAGCAAACATTACAGGATTGATTCATCATTTTCAGTTTAAGGAAACCTTGGGGTGGAAAATGTCTCCTTCCATAACAAAGGTAGTATTAGCTGTCATGTCTACTCCACATAATTCTCTGCACAATTCAGTGGAGTCATCCACCCTGATTGGTCAGGAAAAGAGCGAGAGCCGGAAAGTGGCAGAGCACACAGCCAAAGAAAACAGCATTAACACCATTTGAGAAATAGTATGAAACTCTTCTTGGGCGTTGATCTGATCACTGATCATTAAACTGGACCAGGTTTTTAGTGGGCCCCTGGTCATTGAGCAATGCTTTTTGTCAAACACCGCAATTCACCTTGCTGGTATTTTCAGTCCTTCTTGTGGCCTCATTAAGGCTATTTTCAGCATAGTCTGTTGACAAGAATTGCTGATACCCAGAAATTGCATTATCCCTGTTGCTATGGATTAACCCACTAGCACTGCACTAACTCTCCATGAGTAACGTCTGAGCTACTGCCACCGTCTCCTCTCTGCTATGCAAGTCCAAGGCTACAACACATGGGAAAGATATAGGGCCTAAATTCACTGTTTGTGTTGGTATCGAAGTCATTGTTACACACTGAAGCAGCAGCAGTGAACTGTTACTGAGTTGCTTCACATAAATAACGATGTTTAAAGGATGTAAAGGTGTGACTGAAGTTAGAGTCAGAAAATATTGCAAATAGTTTTGCATCTGGCAGTAGTAACTCGGCAGGAGCAGCATAGGAGCAGAGTGGAGTCAAGAACACAGTGAGTCTAGTACAAATACCAGTCAACTTTTATAGCATACAGTGTAAGTAGTGGCCACAACAGGGACCAAGAGGTTTTTTTTTTGTTTGTTTGTTTTTTGTTAGCTTTCTGCAAAGGTTTTGGACTCTGATTAGCTCTGTGATTAGCTCAGACATACAGAAAGAAGAAAAACCTCTAAAATGAAAATGTCTGGTGCTTTATTTACTAATCTCACGCCCTCACAAAGCTACTACCCTGTTATAGACAGGAAAGAGAAAAAAATAGAAATGTGGTTTTATTCAAAGTAAACTGAACATCAGTCAGTGGGGCATAACTTAGTTATTAATGTTCAGGGCTCTTTCTACTTGCTGGTATTTTGACTCAGTTATGTGGTCGTATTTAGACTAGCTACGCTACTTTGTTGTGACAGTGTTGAGAATTAACGATATGGAAAAATGTCTAATGATTTTTTTTTAACTACAGTATAGAAATAAAATAATATAATCTATATTTGAACTGTGTAAATAACAGCTGGATTATAGCATTACAAAACTCAGTTTCATGTATTGCTATAATTTATTTAACCACCGTTTACTGCACAACGTGACTCTTATAAAGCGTGATACTGGCTGCATGATGTGACAGTGTGATCTCTTACCTTATGAACTTAAATCCTTTCCTTCAAACTGGTCAGCTGTGGTGCACAGATTCAGTTTCTGCAGTGAAACAAAGTGGTTGTGCTCAGGATGAGCCCAGCACCAGCAAAAAGTCCAAATGTCATTTACTCTGGTGAATCACAATACTACTTTTTCTGGATTGTTGAGTGATTTATAACAGGCAGTTTTTAGTTTTGCTGCTTAAATGCAACAGTATCTTCAATATTACTGCAGGCATGCAACTCATCTGATCACTGAATAAAATATAAGGCAACAGATACTATGCTCAATAAAAACACAGTTTACTGTACTCAGCCTGTAAAGTTACCCTATATAGTGCAGATGCCTCAGTGCAAAGATATGTTAGTTTGTATGCATGGACAGGAATTTGTTTTGTTTTGTGAACCATAAATTTAATAAATAAATAGTCTGCCACTGGCAGTGTATTTGGATACGATGTAGGCCTGTATTGTATTATTGTCCCTTTTGGGACTTGAGTGCTTCATGGAGGTGAACCTTTCCCACTCAGGGTTGCTTTTCTCACATTGCCAGTAAATAAATAAAATAAGTTCATGCTCATGTAAGTTCATGTAACTGTTGTCACAGATTGAACCTCAGTTTCCATTAACACCACCAACCATGGCAGCTGTAACACCACTGTTTACTATATGTTACATCTTTATCAAAACCTCTGGGGTTTTTATATTGTGTTTATTTTACTTTTTAGTATGCTGTAAATGGTGTCAGTCATTCACAGGTCTACTTTAAAAATCTATTTGATCCAACATGAAAGCACCAAGAAAGTGAAGAGTCAGGAGAGATGTTCATATTTTTCTTACAATAAAAAATCTAAAGTTTGTTTTGAGCCCCACACATACTGTATATTACAAGTAGTCAGGTGAGAATAAGCTGCACTTATCCTGGAGAGGTGGACTCTGAATGTAGCAACGGCGGCCGGGGTGGCTTATTTTGAACGGACTCTCATGTACCTGAATAGCAAACTGTCTGCTAGGTGTACAGTGTCCTTTGTGCAAAAGCCAACGGGTCATTGCTGGCTTGTGGAGTTGATGACCTGAGCGGGTACCTCCTCCACCCCTTTGTCATCCAGTGGGAAATAACACACCAGCAGATAGCCCTGACAGGGCTCTGCTGACTCCGCTCACAGGCACGCTATCAGTGCTGCGAAGGCACACGTCAGCCAGTTCTTGCTGTTCTGTTCGCTAACAAAAACACTGTAGGGTATTGCCTTTACTAGAAATGTCATTCCTTATTTAGATACAAGTATAAATGTGGTATATTTTCAAAAGTATAAAATGTTTTTTTTCTCTCACAAATATTACTATTCTACTCACTTTTCTTACTTCATTTAAATACATTTCATCAAATTGTATTTACTTCTGGTTTCCAGATATAACAATATATATCCCCTCATTCGATGGCACATCTTATTTGGAGCTGCAGCCTCTTGCGTCTCTTCTCCAGCCTTCTGCTGCAAGGAATGATCTACCTGTCACTGCCAAGGACTCCACAGTTATTCTCTATTTGACAGTGAAAACAAGATCTACACAAGGCACCATCCTCTACAGTGAGTAGTCTTTTTTTATCACAAATGTTTAAAATCGCTGTGAAAGCAAGTGTAGATAAAGGCTTGAAAGATATGCATATCTATAGGTGTAGGCCCATTATGTTGATTACCTTTTCATACAGCTTTTTCTTTATGTATAACTTTGTGAGTGCACAAGCATTAATTTATTTTTACAGCCTGCATCGCAAGTTATTGTCTCCTAGTGCTTAAAATAATGATGTTTTTAGTGGATAATATGTTGCTGCTGTGCTCTGTATGAGGGATTAATGTTCATTTTGATGAGGATTCTTGTATCTTCCATACTACAGATATAGAGTTGGTTCTACTGTAGAAGTTGTTGTGTGTGTGCATTTTTACATTAAAAGGCCAGACTGAAAAAAGTTTTACCTACTGTACCTAATAAGGAAATCATTTAGTGTGAATAGTTACAAACTGGGTGGATGATAATACATCACCACCACAACCAAAATACCTCTCTTTACTAGAATAGTTCAACATTTTGGGAAATATGCATATTCATTCTTGCCAAGAGTTTGATGAGAAGATTGATTCTGATAGCTGAGCATAAGGACTGGAAACATGTAGAAAGGGCTGGCAGTGTCTCAAGATAACAAATCCACCAAGCTATTAATGTGATAAATCTTGTTTGTTGTATTGACAAAATAAAATGCAGGAGTTATTGCAGGAAAGTTTTCCAGCCAGGTGCAGAAACTTTCTTATGGTAACAGAAGAACTCCAGAAAGATACCGCATGTCCAGCACATGACATGCTATTAAAAGTAAACCATAATTATTTACCTTATTTTTAATGCTGCTGTTTCTACCTGCTTCTAGTCTTTATTCTAAGCTGGCTAACCATTTTTATACAAATGAAACAAACAAGGTACAGCTTATACGTGGATAAATGTCTTCAAAATGTCCCATCAACAAACCGTGGGCTGGTCAAGCAGATTCTACGATGAAGACATTTCCAGTGCAGCTAAAGTAGAGCTTATTTGCAGGGAACAAGAATGTCCCCAAAATGATTTTCTGTTGTGTTGTAAAGCATTTCAAAAGAGAGAGGCTAATCTGCTGTATACTGTATAATGCTGTTTAAACGTGTTGTGAATAAGGGACATTTTCTTGACAGAAAAACGTGTCGTCTTGTTGCTGTCACGCTTGTTATCACTGTTCCTTTTGCTCTCAAACGCCTCTGTCTCTAGATCACTAACAGTGCAGAATGTCTGTGTTTTGTTGATCAGCGGCTGATTTACACTGAGATGTTGAAAATTCAATATTGTTTCTGAGTTCAAGCAAGCAAGGATGCCTGGCAACCATTATACTGCTGTGGAAAAGGCAAAAAATAAAAAAGATAATTGATCTGAACAACTGATCATCAAGTTCAATATAATATTAACAATGTAGAGAATGATAACATGAAAGTAAAAGAGTGGTGATCTTTATAAAATGCATATATTCTAAATCTCAGATAATATTTTAAAAAATCACTGGAGATATCACTTGTGGACAGCAGTGCCATGAGCTATCTATTGTTGTTGCAAGGAATTGTGGTACACAAAGATGGGTCCTGTGTTTCCAAGGCTACAGGAGAAAGGCAAGGAAGCATTCAGGCTTCCTTTTTAGCTTTTAAACAGTGTGACCAGCTTCTCATTGCTAACTCTTAAGCACATTTATTTAGTTAAGGACATTCATTACCAAAAGACACTGTGCTCTGGTGAAGGGACAGCTGTGTCTGCTTTTGTTTTGCTGTTGACAGTTGAGCTGTAACCTAAAAACGAACAAAGAAATCCTTACAAGAAGACAAGAGCTGGTCACTCAGCATGGTGAGCAAGGACCGGGCTGACCCTTTAGGTCAAGCGTGAGCTCACCATTGTGCATCTGACTCCTGCCGGCTGTTTTGTTCCCACACCTGCACACTCAACACACACAGACTCGCTTTCTTTTGTTACATAAGGCAGTTTAGGGCAGGCAGCCCCTGAGTAGATCCTCATAACAATGGTGCATTGTTTTGTGAGGAAAGGAGTCCTGTTGAAAGCTGAGCCATGAGAACTGTGTTCCATTTACAGTTTGCAGCTTTGTGTGTATCTTTTCAGTGTATGCATACAACCAGTTTAAGGGTGAAGTCGGTGCATGGATGCCTTGAGCTGTACATCCTCAAATGACTCCCAAAACATCTCACTGTCTATCCTTGGGCCATAGTTGCAGCTTTTTGCTCTGAAAAATTGCAGCTGCCTTGATCTTATGAGGCTGTTGCTGTCCCCGTGTGACGCCACAAAGTCAGGTGCAAGTCTAACGGAATTGTATTTGCCATGTGTTGTGTGGTAACCAAGTGTGATTTATTTCACACCAAACAGGCACAGACATCACAACATTGATCTTACTGGTGTTACTTTGATCATCCTCTTATCTGTGACATCGTCTTCAGGTTTACACACCTAGTATTAAACATAGCAGTACACCCCAGGATTCACCCTTAAACAGTCTTCTAATCCTTAAAGTAATAATGAATTGACTGTTATGTTTAAGGAGATATTAATCTTAGGGAGATATTAATTAGCAGGCTCTTGAAAGGTAAACTAGCTATGCCTGAAGTACACATACCATCAGCATGGAAAGTTTTCTGACCCTTTCAAGTTTTCCACATTTTGTTATGTTTTCATAGTCATCTTAAAACTGATTCGGTTTAATTTTTCATCATTAATCTACACACAGTAATCCACAATGACAACAGTGAAAACAGGTTTTTGGAGTGTTTTGTAAATTTATTAAAATTTAAATACTGAAATATCCTATTTACAGAAGTATTGAGACCCCTAGTTATGACACTTGCAATTGACCTCTGGTGCACCCTACTCCTATCAGTGGCCGTTGTGATGCTTCCACAGATTGATTAGAGTCCACCATTGCCTACTTTTCTGCATTGGATATAATTAAGGAAGGCACACACCTGTCTGGATAAGGTCTTACAGTTGATGGTGTATGTCAGACTGAAATCAAAACCATGAGGTCGAGAGAATTGTCCACAGACCTGTGAGACAGGATTGTGTCAAGACACAGATCTGGGGAAGAAACTTTCTGCAGCACTAAAACTCCCCAGGATCACAGTAGCCTCCATCATTCTCAGATGGAAGAGATCTGGAACCACCAACAACCTTCATATTTCTGGCCACCCAGTCAGACTTAGTAATTCGGGATGAAGGGCTTTGATCAGAACGGTAACTAAGAACCCAAGGGTCACTATGAGTGAGATCCAGAGTTCCTTTCTGGAGATGGGAGAACCTTAGAGAAGGAGAACCATCAGCACAGCACTCCACCAATCAGGCCTCTATGGCCAGACAGAAGCCATTCCTCACTAAAAGGCACATGATAGTGTGGACCACACTGAGCATGGACAAAAGAAAGAAGAGCAGAGACTTGCCTGGAGATTTGAGAACCACAGTAGTGGAAAAGCCTGGACAGTCTCAAGGCCATCTCCACAGAGATTTTGTTGTTCCTGTGTCCACTGTGCGCAACACTGTCATGAAGTTTACAGCCCATGGTGCTGTAGCTACTCTCCCTGGACATGGACGAAAGAGAAAAATAGATGACAGATTGCAAAGAAGGATTGTTTGAATGGTGGATAAAGAACCTTGATCAATTTCCAAACAGATTCAAGCTGACCTGCAGGCACAGGGTGCAACAGCTCGCACTGTCAGTCGCCATCTGAATGACAAGGGGGCGCTATGGTCGGAGGGCCAGGGGGACTCCACTGCTGACACAGACATAAAAAAGCCAGACTGAAGTTTGTCAAAACTTACCTGAGGAAGTCACAGTTGTCCTGGGAGAATGTCCTATGGACAGATGAGACCAAAATAGAGCTTTTTGGCCGAGCACATCGTTCTGCTGTTTTCAGAAAATGAAATGAGTTCTTCAAAGAAAAGAACACGGTGTCTACAGTCAAACACGGTGGACGTTCACTGATGCTGCTTCAGGCACTGGATGTCTTGACTGTGTGTGTGGCATGGCATTATGAAATCTGAAGACTACTAATGAATCCCTGGGCCCAGTGTCAGAAAGCCAGGTCTCTGTCAGAGGTAATGGGTCTTACAGCAGGACAATGACCCAAAGGTGACTTCAGAAAGCACCCAGAAATTGTTACAGACAATGTGCTGGAGAGTTCCGAAATGGCCAGCAATGAGTCCAGATGTAAATCATACAGAGCACCTGTGGGGAGATCTCAAACAGCAGCTGGGAGAAGGAACCCTTCAAATTTGAGAGACCTGGAGCAGCTGGCAAAAGAGGAGCGGTCCAGAATCCCAGTAGAGATGTGTAAGAAACAGACTGATGGTTACAGGAAGCAATTGATTTCAGTTATTATGTCCAAAGGATGTGCTACTAAATATGAAGTTCAGGTTATCAATAATTATGTCCATTCCATTTTTGGAGTTCTGTGTGGAATGTATCAGACTTGGCTTTTTTCTCTTTGCTTTTTGGTGCTGTTCCAATGCAAGCGAAATAAATAAACATGAAAATACCAAGGAATTTGTGATTGCAACAGTTTTCTTGGAGAAGTGGTGTGTTATCTGACAAATGCGGGGGGTGACAATATTTTTGCCCATGACTGTATGTGTGTGCGTGCGCATGTCTGTGCTGTAGCCTATTTATAAATTGTTGTTGATTAGAGTGGTTTGAGTTTTGTAAAGTTAAGGTGGCATGATTCAGGAAATATCTGAAACATTCAAATAATAGGCTTGAGACCAGAACAGCAGAGTAATTGCAAAGTACAGCTTTTAAATTAATGCCTGTTTTGGAATGTTTTTTTGGAAAAGTCAGCACATTACATAAACAAAAAAAAACAATATAACTGAAGGGAACTAAGGTGTGTATTTTTCAGTAATGATTTTTTTTCCCTTTTTTTTTTTCAATACTTGATTGAAGATGTCTCAACCATTGTCAAGAGTTATGCTCTTTATATGAAAGATTTCAAAGAAATGGTGCTCAAATGATGCAGGTTGATGCAGG